GTGTGCTTCTTCCATGTGGGCTTTGTTGCTTCTGGGCTAGATGGCCGCTTGTTTACCTTCAAGCTTTTAAGACCCCAGACGCTATATAGAATCTTTCATTGAAGTAGTCAGAAATAGTAGCTGGGCACCATCCACTTCTTCCAGCATCCTAGCAAGAAAGCAGGCAGCTGTTCATTGGAAAGAAGCTTCACATTCCACCCCCACCCCCACCCCATACCCAACTCTTCCTCCAACTGGATAGAGACAGGCTGTGGCTCGGATAGCTCAACGACTTTTGAGTTTCCTTCAGCACTTGACTTCCCTCCTCCACCTTCCAGGTTCCTGCCATCTCGCTTGCCTATGAGTCAGCTGAAAGTGACATCATGAAGAGAGCTCCCCGGAACCCCCTGACGGACAAGCTGGTGAACTACCGGCTCATCAGCATGGCCTACGGGCAGATTGGTAAGGACAGCCTGGGGGACGAGAGCTGGTGGGGTAGGGAGGATGGCTGAGCCAGTGGCTGTCCCTGCCATCAAATACCAGATGGGTCTTAGAGCCGTCTCAGTTTGGAAACCAGGGAAATATGTTCTTTGTGAATCGCCAGCTGTGCTGGCCCCTGGGAGAGTAAAGAACCACTGGTCTCTGCTCTACTCTGACCCATACAGAGACATGTGAGGAAGGAGCAAATAAAATGACAGCACCTGTCCACGGACCAAAGAGTAGGGATAGATAGGGAGTACGAAGCAAGCAGGCCTGCCAATGAGGAAGGGAGTCAGAGAAGCCTGATGGAGCGTATAGAATGGAAGGTGGGCATTAGCAAATGGGACTGAGCAAAAGTCACATGGCCTGGTTTGTGCCCATGGGGGAGAGGGAAAAGTCACATGGCCTGGTTGGAAAACCGAGTAAACAGATTTGATGACACCCTTGATGTTGTCATCAAGGAGATTAATGGCTGGCTCAAAGCCCCCAGCTGGATTAGGACTGGACTCAGTACGTTTGATGCTTTTCCACCTCACCAGGATGACGTCAAACCAGGATAACCACAAGTTTTTCCAGTAGCATCTGGGTTGGGAAGGTGTTGTTGGGTGCCTTCAAGCCGGTTCTGACTCAGGTACAACAGAACAAAGCACTAGCCGTCCGACAACCATCCTCACCACTGTTCTTTTGTCTGTGCCCGTCGTTCCAGTCTCTGTCAGTCCGTCTCATCGAGGAGCTTCCTCTTTCCCACGGCTTCTCTCCTTTACCAAGGATGATGTCCTTCTCCCAGGACTGGTCTCTCCTGACGTGTCTCAGGAATGTGTGATGAAGTCCCGACTGTGTCTAAGAAGCATTCTGGCCGGACTTCTTCCGAGATAGGCGTGGATGTTCTTTCGGCAGCCCTTGGCTCTTTCAAAGTTCTCTGCCAGCCCCAGAATTCAAGTGTGTCCATTCTTCCTTGGGCTTCCTTATTCGGTGCCCAATTTTCACATACATACGAGGCTATGGAAAATACCACGGCTTGGGTCCGACTCATCTTAGTCCTCAAACTAACATCCTTGACTTTCAACACCCCAAAGTGGCCGTGTGCAGCAGATTTACCTGGTGCCATGCATAATCCATTTGAGCTCTTGACTGCTGCTTCCATGAGTATTGATTGCGGACCAAATCTTTGACAACTTCAATCTCTCTTCCACTGATCATGATGTAACCTCTTGGTCCAATTGTGAGGATTTGGGTCTTCCTTACATTGAGTTGTCATCCATCCTGAAGGCTGCAACCTTTGATCTTCATCAGCAAGTGCCTCAAGTCCTCCTCCCTTTCAGCAGGAAAGATGATGTCATCTGCACACAACCATTGTTAGCTCCGATAAAGGAGCAGTGGGAGAGAAGGCTGTAGGCAAAGGAGGCCTGGTGGCACTGTGAGTCAGACACTGGGCTGCTGCAAGCCCAATAGCCACTCTGTAGGAGTAAGATGCGGCTGCCTGTTCCTGTAAATATTTAGCCCTGGAGTTGCTCTGAGTCAGATTTAACTTGATGGCTGTGGGTTTTAGACATCAAACCAAACCACTGCATCAGGTCAATCCCGACTCTCAGTAACCCTGTGGGGCAGGGTAGAAGTGCCGCTCGGAGTCTCAGGGACTGAACATCTTTACAAGGATGGACAGCCTCATCTTTCTCCTGAGGAGGGATTTGCAGGTTCAAACTGCTGACCTTTCTGATAGCAGCTCAGTTTGTAACCCATTATGCCACAAGGACTCCTGGTTTGGGCATAAGTAGCATTTATATCAGGGCGAGTCTTGAAAGACATTTGAGAACCACGCGAGCTCTTTGTTCCTGTGTTTTCAAGCTCAAGAAGGTTCTTCAAGAAGCAGGGTGAGGCACGATGGACAGGGAAGAGATTGGGGGGATCATCCCAAATAGCTGGCCGAGGAAGCACCTGGGGAAAGCACAGGTTTAGGACTCAGCCCTATGTTCGAAGCCCAGTTTCCCCACTTACTATGACCTGTGTGACCCTGGAGAACAACTGGATCTCTGTGTGCTTCACTTTCACCTCATCCACAATGCACATAACAGGTGAGCACCATGAGGTTCAGTGTCCACTAGGCACCTTCACGGAGCAGGGTAGGTAGTGGGCTATAACTAACACCAGCTATTCCCACAGTTCAAATACAGAGGACAGAGGTTTAGACCAGGAGAGAGGCAAGAGGTAGATGGAAGAGATGTGAGGAGCGGAGAGGGTTTAATGAACATCTGGATGTCAGCAGGGACGGAGGGGAGGGAACACTCCTTCCATGGAGAGAGGGGGCAGGCTGCCTCCAAGGCCCTTTGCAGTTGAAACATATGAGTCGAAGATGACTTTGGGTTTGAATTTAGAAACAAATGTCGGGGCTGGAAGGCAGGTGCCACAGGCAATGGGATGGCATCTTTGATGGCGAGAATCTTTGGCGTGACTCATGAGACCTGTGTGCCCCGCCCTCACCCACTCTGCCTTTGAGGATCTTTCCCTGACCCAGCGTCCCCTCCCCCTATCGCTCACAGGGATGATCCAGGCGCTGGCTGGGTTCTTCACCTACTTTGTGGTCCTGGCTGAGAACGGATTTAAGCCTTTGGATCTGTTCGGCATCCGCCTGCAGTGGGAAAATAAATACGTTAATGATCTGGAGGACAGCTATGGCCAGCAGTGGGTGAGTAGGAGGGGCAGGGCAGGAGGGAGGTCAGGATCAATATGGATGGAGAAGCGAGAGGTCAGAGCAGAGTTCGCTGCCAAGTGTTGAAGAGGCGTGGCAGAAGGATGGGGCTGAGGGCCACAAGGGAAATCTCTTCTCCATGAGCACTTCCCATGTGGCCTCAGTCGTCAGTCAGAGCAGCAAAGAGTCGCCCCTCGGTTTACAAGGACCTCCATCTCCTACAAGGACTCCTGCCTGTCATCAACCCTTGCCCTCCAGGATCATTCAGCACCCTGGGACCCAAAGGTCTCCTGTCTCATCAGATCTTTTTCTCGGCGGGTTCTGGTCGTCTGGGTTCTGAAAGGAGTGCTGGTCTCCTCTCTGCTGGTCCGTCCCCTTCCTCGGGAGAGTTCAAACCATCACGTTTCAAATGTGGGCAGAGGAGAAGGGTGCTCCACGGGCTTTTCAAGGCTGGGACCCTTGTAAGCAGAATGCCAGGAGTGGCTCCCAAGGCCCCTCTGGGTGGGTTCAGCTGGGTGTGCCGCCCCGGGACTCCTCAAGTCTGAAATTGATTCTCAGCACCAGTCAAAACCTTTTAACACTTACACGATGCCTGTCTGCAACAGTCTTTCCTAAAAACCAAGACGAATGAGGCCCAAACTGAAGGCCTCCCCCTAATGGTGGGTTCAGATGTTTTAGGAATTTTTTTTTGCGGGGGG